AAAGATAAAGATGTATATAATCTTATCTTGCCACATCAATATAAGGCTTCGGGCTTTCATTTATTCATCATTTTTCTAAGGCTTTGCTACTGCAAGTGAACACAACAAAACAACAAAGAGACTTTCAGAGAGCACTTAGGTTGTTGTTTTCTCTTGGACATTTGTTCATGTTCGCAAACTCACTGGTGTGTGTATTGTGTCCACAGCCAGATGCCAGGATGTTAATATTGCTGTAGCTGGAGGCAGTCAGTGTGACAAATCCTTGCCAGAAGCAGAACTAGAACTCAGTAATCACCATTCGTCTCCACAGCGCCTGAAACACATGTAGCACCATGTTGCTGTTAATAAAACCCTTCAGCTCCTGAGGGAAAATCTATTTGTCAAATACATGTAGTTCCTTTCATAACCATTTTTACTCTGTGTGTAAGTCTTTCTGATCTTTTTTCTGCCTTATTCTTTGCAACTACCCCAGTAAGGCTCTTTTCTGCAGTCTAATCAGATTCTGGATATGTTTTCTGCTGACTTAAAATTTTCAAGCTTTGCTGAGTTGTCTCTTTCTTGTGTATTACAGTTTTCATAATTTTAAAGATCAGAAACAGCACATGTTGAACAGGGATTGTGGAGGCCTTGACATGATTTTGAGTAGTAAATTTCTCTCTCTCTCTCTCTCTCTCCTTTTCCTTTCATTGTAGATAAAACAGATGAAGAGCTCGAGATGACAATGGTGTGTCACAGGCCAGAGGGTCTTGAGCAACTGGAAGCCCAAACTAACTTCACCAAACAGGAGCTACAAATCCTGTATCGTGGTTTTAAAAATGTACACTTTCATTTCATTATTACTTTGGCTACATAGGCTACAGAGCATGCTGAGCCCTTAATCACCAATTTGCATTTGAGATAATTCAAATATAGTTTCTGATCACCTTAATTAAAACACACACACACACACAGTTTACTATTTAACCTTAATGGTAGCAATGCAGATAATTTCTATTTGAACAAGCATCATGAATGTATATTTTGAGGTGGAACACAATTAGCTAAATACTAAAATTAGTATACAAATATGCTATCAATGACAAAACTAAAATATTGACGTTGGCTAATGTCTACAATGGTCACACTAAATGTTTAGTTTGTTTGTATGCTAACTTTTGCTAATTAGCACAAAACACAAAGTACAGCAGAAGCTGGTGGTTATAGTTTTGAATGTATTCGGTTATAAACTAAAGTAGTGGACAAATTAACGTTCACCAAGATACAAAATCAGCTGGTCACCTCATCCTCTGGGCACCAAGGATTTCTGTGCCAAATTTAATAGCAATTCTTCCGATGCTTGTTGGGACATTTCACTGAAAAACAGAAAGGTCAGTTTTCATCCTCTGGCAACCATGAAAGTCTGTACAGTATTTGATGGCAATGCATCCAATAGTTGGTTGGATATTTCAGTCTGGTCTATAATGAGTGATCCACAGAGCTATGTGCCGCTAGCATGGCTAAATTTAGCAGAAACGTTTCTTGCTGAAACGATCTTGAAATGTAGCTGATGTATCCCAAATTAAATTGGGTTGAATTGGTGCCTACCTCCTGACATCCAAATGGCCCCCTGCCAGAGTTTATGCCCTTCAGTATCACAGTGCTGGCGACTCACACTTCTGGCTTGAAAAATCCACTTCGAGACATTGTTTCACACTCCTTTTCTTTGACTTTATTAAATTTCTGTGGCCATCAAATATGAACAAGATCGAAACATGTCTTTGCAGTAACGCAGAAGTGGTAACTTCATTAATTATTTAAACCGTCTCCTGTGACAATGTGAACTTACTGGAGCCTTATTAAAACAAGCACAATTTCCTCTGGACAGTCACAATATTTTTGTCTGGCTTGTTTGGTTTATTAGAAATATAGTTCAGTTTTGCTGCTTAAATGCAGCAATGTGCTAGAAGCATGGACATTTTCTAATTACTAAAGTAAAATTGTGTAGTGTAAGGCAACAGGTAGCAGGACTAATAATGAAAACATAATTTATTGTACCCAAACTGTAGGTTACTGTCAATAGCATAGTAGATGCTTATTGTTATGCATGGACAGAAATGTAAGTGTTTTTGAACCATACATTCAACTCAGAAATAAAAATATTCTCATCTGCCAATGGTAGAGTATGTGGGTATAGGAATTACTGTCTGTGGGGCTTTTGGCTGCTTCATGAAGGTGAATCAATATAAAGGGTTTCTCCAACCACATTGCCAATAAATAATGAAAGCAATATATACAGGTTTTTTGTTTGTTATCTTTTTTTTTTTTTGTAAGTCCACGTTTCCCCCTAATGGTTCCTGGTCATTTAGATGGCTTCAACTTAAGATATCAATATATCAGTCTCCGAATTTTACCGCTATAATTCAGCTGAATGAAGTTTAGTTCATGCTACTGCAATCAATCTGCATCAACTACATTCTGCTGAAGAAACGGTCTATGATAGCTGTTGATAGTCTGGGCGGAACTCCACACTTCCATCCAACATGACAAAGATTGCCCCCTGCTCCCAAATCCACTTTTCACCACTGCTTTCTATGAACAGTTACTTGAAAGTATTGTTTTCTGCTGAAAATAAAAATAGTGTTAACTGTACAATACAAAGGGTAAGAAAAATGTCAATATATAAACAATGCAAATACATTTTTGGGGTCAAGTGACTTGGACCTGACAATTATTACAAGTTTTTCACCAACAAGAAGAAAAATCATAACCTGAGTAGATTAAACTGAATTTGTCTTTTTCTCCACAGGAGTGTCCAAGTGGTGTGGTAAATGAGGAGACATTTAAACACATTTATGCACAGTTCTTTCCTCATGGAGGTAAAGTGCAATGCTCTCCAATTTTTTTCATAGCGCTGTGAAACTTTCTGAGGACAACACCTGACACATTTACTTTTTTTGCGTTGCAGATGCAAGCATGTATGCACATTATCTTTTCAGTGCATTTGACACTACAAATAATGGCTCCATTAAGTTCAAGGTACAAAAGAAATCCTTTGTAATTGCATTTATGTAAATTATTTATTTACTTCCATCTACTATGAACCTTTAAAATTTTCTACCATTTTCTTTATCTTGTTCTGTTGCTGTCAGGACTTTGTAATGGGATTGTCCATATTATTGCGGGGTACTCTGAGGGAAAAGCTGGAGTGGACATTTCACCTGTATGACATTAACAGAGATGGCTACATAAGCAGAGAGGTAAGACTGGGCTGTTGCAGTTCATGAGGTGCTTTGTAAGCCATCACAGTGAGAATAAATGATCTTTTCTTTCAGGAAATGACAGAAATTGTGAGGGCCATTTATGACATGATGGGAAAGTACACCTACCCTGCACTAAAAGGAGATGTCCCACAGCAGCATGTGGATGCCTTTTTTCAGGTTAACTTTAAAATTATTATTAAATTACCCCAAGAATCAAATGCTAGTAGAACAACATGATTTATAATGTCTTTCATACTACAGTAGATTTCCTATTGAGCCTTTTTGGTTTTATTTAGACACTTGGCATTAATGTCAAATTTCATGCAGTAGCAACAGTTATTCTCCATACTGTGTATTGTGATAGTAGTGTGCATGGTTTCCTACAGTTTCTGCATGCAACATTTATTGCAATGCAAGAGAAGTGCCACACTAAAAAATAACTAAATATTTTAATTAATTTAATATAATTTTGGTACTAATTCACATTATGTTCTGTAACATTGTTTTTCTACAGAAAATGGATAAAAACAAAGATGGAGTGGTGACTTTAGAGGAGTTTATTATTGCCTGCCAGGAGGTATGTATAATCCTACATCTCTTAAATTCTTTTGTAACCATAAAAAAATATAATTTTATAATATACAATTTTAAAGTGAAAATATTTAACCATTGCCAACTTTGAGACTGGGAGGTATAAAACGTGACATAAACATTTACTTACACAGCATGTTCCAGGTACTCAAACACATTGAAACACATTTAAAAATTGTGCATGGAAGTCTTGAGCTTTGGGAACAATAGATGGAACAAAATAACTCAGTAATCTCAAAGGTTCCCATATCAGCTTTTGAAGCTTTCCACCACATTTCACTGTCTTCAACAAGTGAATAATTCCACACTTAGGTCCCATTATGAAACCTTAAACAGCTCCAATCAACTCCCTGCAGTTAAAAAGTACAGAAAACTAGTAAATTAACCTTTGAGCTTAAATAACATTGTCACATTGAAAGTTAATATGTTATAAAACACAATGTACATTGTAAAAGTTTTTAAAAGTAATGAAAAAACTATAACCATAAAGAAACTGATGCAGATCTGAAAGTAAATTTAAAACATGTTCAATATACAAAATATATCATATACATATTTTCAAGTCTAAACTGGGATAAACAAGTCCATACATAATGAAAATAGAGTTAAACATTACACAGTGTCTCCTCAAGAATAACTTAAGACTGGTTTGCTGTTTAATGGGCAAGACAAATGAATTGGTGTTACATTACTGTTTCTGAAAGCTGAACTTTTCTTATATATTACTATATAGTGATAGAGTACAGTGTTAGTTAATTCAATCATTCTGCCATGACTTCTCTCTCCCCAGGATGAAACCATGATGAGATCCATGCAGCTGTTTGAAAATGTGATGTAGGATAAACAGAGACGATGGAGACAAAGTTGTGAAAAATGAGAGGGCTTGGTGTGATTTTGTGCGTGTGGATGCATATGTGCAGTACATCCAGTCTCTCCTTCTCCTCCCATCTGATCTAGCAGTGGTATGGATATGGCCAGAAACCTGTAAAAAGACTGAAACGAAGGAACTGGACTGCCATGCTTTTATCCCTCCTGTGGAATTTTGCCACAGTTCCAAGAGACTGATAACAAAGTGACAGATGCATCATTCTCAGTCTTGTTTTGAAGATTGGCCTCTTAAAGTTTTCAAGGCTGCTCCCAAAATGTGAAGAGCTACTTGTTCAACCAGTGGAATTATTTATAATTACTGGAAAAATATATCTGCATGCTTTTGCAAGAGTTTTTGATTTATCTCCAAAAGCTTGTCATATTTGTTTTGGGGACCTGGCCATAAAGACTATATTTATCTCATGTTGACAGACATGTCATATTCCAAATGTCATGTACTGGTTTTGCCTTTGCAGTGACTCCCTATACTTTTGTGTTGGCCTGGCTATTGCTTGCCTGCTGAGTCTGTCTGATGCTTATTGTTCTGAGTCTGTCTAAAGATCACCAGTAGAAAGTCAAATAATTTTGAAATAGTTCCTTTTGTGGGTTCTATATGGTATGTATGTGCCTGTCTTTCTGCCTATGTTGGCTTTAGTTAAAAGGAACAAAACTGGATTCATTCTTTTAGATTTTCACTGGCTGTTTTGCCTCTTGTGGTCAAATTGGTGTGCATTGTGGAAAATGTGCATAAATGTTTTATGATGAGGTGCCCACAAAACAAAGACACTGAATTAGAAGGAAGAGACCATATCTTTATTTGTACAAGTGACAGGTGATCAGAGATGATAACAATGATAACTGTAACAGTGAAATTTGTGTTTGAAGCATTGATACCTGCTCATATGTAATTATATAAGAAGAGTAGCTCAGTCTCATGCTCTGATGAAACCCTGGCATGAGAACATTATAGGAAAGCTTCTGATAATCTTGCAGGGAAATGTCACTGAATGCCAGCTTGTAATATTTTGATAACACAGAGGACAGCTCCATCTGTATTAGTGAACATTTGGTCATGTCTCCTCCCAGACCAAATCTGTGATGTCACACAGGTACAGAAAGAATAGGATCACTCTGGCAGTTACCTGCAGATGATTTTCTGTGAGCCATGGTGTGTTTGAAGCCATAGGTCATTAGGCTATAATAGTTTATGCACTAAAATATTAATCACACTGGAGCAGCTCTTTGCTGTGTGGTTCATCTGTGTGATATCACGGCCTCAGGTCTGTGATATCTTGGTTTGGAGTTATTATATCTCACAAACAAGAAATGAGTTCTAAGCCGTATGAATAAATATAATATGTTAACTTAAATTGAGCTGTGGTTTACTTTATAGTTGTTCTTTTCTTCTATATGGATGTGTATGTTTGTGTCTATGGGTCTTTGGCTCTGTGCTCCTACAGATATGTGATAAATCAGAGAAAACCCCTTCAGTACAAGGTACACGGTAAGCAGTCCCTGAATTGTTTGATAGGTATGAAAATTATGTAAATTATATGCCATAGCTTTTGTAGTACCCAGATCTTAATCCATAAGGGCTTTCCTTTGTTTTGTTTTTCTTTTAATTTTTCAATCATTTCTGTAGAAGGACACATGGCAAGCACAATAACACCCGACATTAAATGAGCCTACAATCAGGCATCCAAATTAGTTTAAATAAAAAAATAACATTTATCTTAGCCATATTTAGAAATGCAGCTTCCTCGGGTTGAAATTGAATGAATAAATTATGTTTTCTTTATTACTTTGCCATGCATACAACTATGCCCAGTCGGCTAAACGCTACCAAATATCGACTTGCATCGTACAAGACGTTAAGACTGTACTCATTGTAGTTATGAAGTCACATATGACTGCGCGGTGTGCTACACACAGTCCTACTGTAGGTGGCGCTGCGGTTACTTTGCCTTTTATGCAGCAGAAACAGCGATGAAGAGAGGAGGCGGAGTAGCACGCTGTTGGTGGTTTCCATAGCCTGTAGTTGGGTATTCTTTTATTGCAAGTAAGCAGACGGTTGACAAAGTTTTAGTCTAAAGCGATGAATGGTTTAGACGACGGACCAATGGCACCGCAGACGTTTCTTTACGGTGAGATAGTTTCTACTTTTTATGTACCAGACCGTTCGTGTTTGATTACTGGTATTATAGCAGATTTTAAGACGAGAAAATGCTAATATTTAGCTACACTAGGTCTTTCACAGTGCAAGGTAATGCTCCTTTTGTCATGTTAAACCATTTAAAGTGTAGCAATTTGCGTGAGTTGCTCTATTAAAGCAGCAGGAGGTTTAATGAGTCTTAAGCAGGTCAGAGCCGCACACGTGTTTGACTACCAACATGGCGGCGCCCGTGTGTTCTGAACAATGCTGATATTTAAGCTTTTTCTTTTCATGGGACTTTGAGGTTATTTTGTAGATTCTTTTACATATAAGTTTAGATTAACTGGAAACATTAAGTTACGTTTTGACCCGACAGTTTGTATGTCGTCGAGAAAAGTCATTTCAACGTGGGTTCACACACGCGCACCGCGCTCACTTCTCTACACGTTGGACCTCTTTCTTTTGACTCTAGGCCTTTGAATTGTCTGCACTGGGCAACGTTTCATTAATCAACAGGAATATACCTGGTTTCTTTAGATCGCCTTCGTCTCATAACGTTAACTTAGTCACATTTCGTCTCTTGAGGTGTAAACCTAATATTTGTCAATTACATGACTAGTTAATACTTGTCAGGACCTCATTATTTTACCCAAATGCGTCACGTTGTGCCAAAAAAAAAAAAAAAAAACAAATTTCAGTAATGGTAGGGTAGTTAAGGTAGAACATTAATTGGCATATCACTTTTGAGAGCTGTGTTATAGACAAGGGATACGATAATTGGAAAATAAGCCACTTTATATGCTGTTTAAATATCTTTAGTGTTCCGCCACTATGCACAGTAAAACTCTTAAAATGTAATGAAAGCTATATTTTTACATTAGAACTAGTATACATAGCGTTTATTTGCTATTTTTTCAACTGTAAAAACTAGTTTGTAATACAGCTTAAAAGTCCTGGTGTTTTGTGTTTGCAGCCCAGTGAAATGACTAAAAGTTGATCTGGTCCCAAACAATGTGCAAAGCCACGTGAAACTGACACCAGCAGTGTATGGCTCCTTCTCTTGTGTGTTTAAAATATAGCACTTTACACTCAACTGCAGCAAATACTTGTTTTGTTTTTGTTTTTTTAGCAAATAACATATCCATCACATTTTAAACTCTCAGAATTAATGTTTGACATTTGAACTGCTGCTGTTGAGGCTTTCGTGTCAGTTAACATCTGATATCTTAAAAACAGGGTGTGTGCTGGAAGCTGGAAAGGAGGTGGTGTTCAATCCCGAGGATAATGAATTTGAGCATCAGTTAGATCTAAGGATGGTGAGTATCCTGGCATTAAAGTTGTTGTCGGAGTGTAAGACATGCCATTCATAATGACCTGTGATGCTGTAATAATCGATCCATTAGTTGGTCTGAGGAAATTATTTGATAGAGTAATCACCTGTTGTTGACTTGTCCTCTTCAGGCCTGTGTGGATCCCAGCACAAAAGATGAACTTCAGATGGTGGAAGTGGAAGGACAAGACACAGAGGGTCAGAAAATCAAGGCAGCGCTGGTTACACTCAAGCCTTCGACCCTGCCAAGTGTGAGTGAACTAATCATTCCATGCTTATGAACAGATGCACTAATAAAGTGTGTTCTCATCATACTGTTAGTTTTGCTTCAGCTGTGCTTTTTTTTTTTTTTTTTTGCGGGGGGGTCTCATACTTGCAAAGGCCCCCTCACCACAGTTGGCTTTGAAAGCTCACACATTCTTTGTGTAACATGAATATGAACAACTCTGGGGATGGCTGGCTAATCTGAGCGCTTGTTGCAGGTCTGTCTTGGTGGTTTCACAATCACACCCCCAGCAGTGTTCCGTCTGAAGGCCGGCTCTGGCCCGATCCATATTAGTGGACAACACCTTGTCAGTAAGTATTTGTTACAAAAATGTAAGGATGTTTTAATGGGATAGGAATGTAGTTGCTCTGTCGGTCCAGTGACCTTTTGATAGTTGTGCAACTGTTAATACATTAGCAGTTTCAAAATTTGTGCCTTTGTGCTCAGGCTTTTTTTTTTATGTATGTTTGTGTTGGTGGTTTACATTCATGTTAGTGACTTGTATCCAGCTCCGATTTGAACACCATAAGTGTCCTAAACTGCCATGCATGTGCAGATTTAACTGAAATGACCAGTATGGCTGAGGTGACATGGCCAAATATCAGATAGGATTTGGATCTTTGAACGCATGTGGAAGTGACCCTGGTTTGCTTTTGTTTACATATCTTTGAAAAGCTCAGATCGGAGTCGCTTGTTAAAAATGGATTTGGGTCATTTCAGCACTTAATGTGAACATAGCTTGAGAAATAAGTGCATATAACTGCATGTCTGGTGTTCTAGTTGAGGAACATTGCCTAATATTTCAAAATTACTCTTCAAGTGATGGAACCAGATGAGAGCTTTGATGAAGAGGATGATGAAGAGGTGGAGGAGGAGGAGGAGGAGGAGAAAGACATCAAAACATCAAAGAAAAGACCTGCTTCCTCTCCTGCCCTCAAGTCTCAGGTTTGGTTTACATCCATAGCAGTTTTAGGTTCAAATTTGTCAAAACTGAAATGATCCCAGCCCATGTTTTACCTCCTTCCAGAAAAAAATGAAGAGGTGGATGGACGACGACGAGGAGGAGGAGGAGGATGAGGATGACATTGAGGATGAAGAAGATGAGTGAGTGTTAGGTGTTAAACATGGCACTATATATTAATAAATATCAGTTCATATATATCCTGCTTTAATAAAATGACAAAACGGGCCCAATTGGAACCAGAATATTTACTGTGTGCAGGGCTTGAAAGTCAGTAGGTTGGTTACTTAAAATAAATGTAAACATGTGCCAGAAAATAATTGCTACAATAATTGAAGCTTAAAATGGAATTTGAGATCTAAGATCCAACATCTGTAACTGCATAATCTGTATTTACCTGGCTGAACCACAGTTCACTTCTCGCTAAAAATGTAGGAATTTCATCAGCAGGTTACAGGTGGTTTTGACAGCAGGTAAAGTCAATCAGAGCGCTGCACAGTCTGTGCACCACTGTCATTCACTACAAGAAGTGGGAAGCCGATATGGTACCATTGGGGGGTGTGGTAATGTAGGCTGTTAGATGTTTCTTCAAGTATGAATGTAAAAATATATATATTAATAATTATTGTTGCCTACGTTGGGGGTGGTTGTGCACTCAGGTCTTACCTTCAAAGTGGTCTACGTAGGTCCTAAATTTAACTTGATGAAACCTGTAGAATAAATCATTGCCTTTCATCAGTCAGGTGTGTAAATTGAATGATAGGACCACAGTTTTTGAAGTATATCTTATAACAATAGTCAGATGGCCATATGAACATTAAAATAGTTTTTGCCTGCTGTAATTATCCCCACTGATCATGCTGAGCATTTAATGCATGTAATGTGCTTTTGATGGCCATAATGGGGGCTAAAATTCACAGTTCTTCCCATTGCAGAAATGTAAACATTACTTGTTTTCTATGGTACTAAAGGGTGCTGTAAGTATTGTAATAGGTGTCATAGGGAGTGGAATATGTCATTTTTGTAGTCTGACCTTAAAGTGCCCATTGTATTGAGAGGACAGTTCATGAACTCGCACAACTCCTGCTGCTGGTGTTGTCACAATCGGACAACACAATGAATTGCGATGGCATCAATATAAATTTTTCCTCCATAGATGGGTAAATAACGGTATATGTACTGATGAAAAGAGATGCGTAACACTAAAAGCATAATTGAGAAACCCCATATTTTAACTGACATAATGCATACATAGTGACTTCTCCAACCTTATAACAATTCTGTTACAAAAACAAGGTGTTAACAGATGTGCAATGTATGTTAAACTTACTGTTAAGTCCCACCAAGTAGTGGAAACATCACTCCCTATCAAGTAGCTCCAAGGTCAGTAAATCCAACCGGTGGTCGCTGCGTCTTCCCTCACACGACCACATACAGTCCCAAAGTAGGAAATTAATTCCAGCAGGTAGGGTAGCTCTGACAACATCATGGATCGTTAACCCGCTCGTTAACCAGCAACACATTAGATGTGGCAGCCACACTGGCCTCAAGCAGTCAAAACAAACAGGTACTGTGCTCTGGGGGAATCCAGTGTTGATGAGCTGGTCAGTCACCACCACCGGGGCCTTCACAGGCCGGCTGCTTGTAGGTTGGGCCTAGTCAGGTAAAACAGCTAGTCCCTGTACAGGAACGTTCCCGGACATGCAGTGAACTCAGACCCTGTATTTTACTCCACATCGTTTGGCCACAGTGCAGCAGCAGGAGGGAAAATTTGTCCACAAAACCTAGCGTAGTTGGAAAAATTCTGCCTTTACAATGGCACCATGGATGTCTCTTTTTTGTTGTTGTTTACATAAGCTTTATTGAAAGTACACATAAGGCAAGGTAACATTGCAATGCAGTTTTTGTCATTTTCCTGAATATGGTGGATGCTCGCATGAACATGAAACTCCCATATATGTGCAATTAATTTGACAATGGTGATATTGAACACTTTTCTAATACACTGTTCACTTTTTGTTGTGATTTTTCAATTCTCATGTTCTTTTCCTTTAAGAGATGAGGATGAGGAGAGTGAGGAGGAAGAATCACCTGTGAAGGTAACGGATGCATACAGTTTTTGCAGTAAAGAAGCTTCAGCTTGTTTTGTCACTAACAGCTGCAATTAACAGGCCAAACCCACACCGTCCAAACGACAAGCTCAGAATGGCAAGAGTCCTAAACCCAGCACTCCAGCCGCCAAACAGGTAACTCAGTCCACATGAACTTTTATCTTCTTTTTACCTACCAAGTAGCAGCAGTGTCTCTGACAAATGTTGGATGTAGTCAGTATATTAAGACTTTCAAAAATCAAATGACTCAGGATTCTCCACTTGTAAAGTAATGCTCGAAACACTCTTCTCTCTTTGCTGATGCACCAACTTCATTTTTAACAGGACAAGACCCCTAAAGCAAAGGATATAAAGTCCCCTAAAACCCCAACTGCTGCTAAGGGAAACTTAACCCTTCCTGAGATTAAAGCTAGGCTGATGGAGGCTGTGAAGAAGGTTTGTGTCCTTAGAGATCCTTTAAAACTATGTTGCAGTTCTGTCCATTTCTTCTGTTTGGAATGGTAATATTTGACCTTTGCTAAAGAAATTTGTGTCCTCCACTGTAATTCTTTTCCCTTTTTACAGGGAGTGACGTTACCAAAGCACCAGCCCAAGTTTGAGAACTTTGTGAAGCACAGTTATAAGGTCTCAGATGCCAAGGTATAGTGTTAAGTTTAAGGTGCCCTCAATTTAGTGTTAAAATTCTTATAGGAATATGTTTTTTTTTCTCTGAAAATGAAGAGAATTCGATCCAGTCTTTGTTGATTTTAGCCCAATTATTCATCCTACTACTAGTGGGTGCCAAAGTCCAACTTTGTCCAATCTCAGAGTGGATGTAATGTTCAAATAAATGCATTGAATGCGTTGTTGTAGAGGCAAAAATAAAAAAAAAAGAAATGCTGTACACTGATGCAAAAGTTTAGATTTTTATTTTAAATGTTGTCTTTCCCCTGTTGACACGCTTTTCTTCTCTCCTTTAGATTGTGGCAGAACTGTGGAAGTGGAGACAGACGGTGGCTGATGCTAAATAAGTCTAAACAACAGTTTTATTCTCATTTTATGAGTGGTGTGTGTGTGTATATTGGCACATCACCCTCAGACCCTTTGAAGCCCAACTCCGTGCCTCACACTGATTCATTCCAAATCAAGTCCAGCTTGAGGGGGGGGGCAATTTCTAAATTAGTATCTTAATAAATGTGTAAATAAAATTCTCGCTAGATTGTTGGCACAAGAGTATGGAAGATATCTTCCTGCTTTATTAAAATACATATGAGATAAAGGTTTGTTTAGCCTCATACAGGAGCTATAAAAATATATTTGTCAAACTTGCATTTCAAATCCATTTTCAGCACCCAGTACGTCAGCTAATGTTGGCCATTGATATGTTGTAAAGTAGAATTGGTGGTTGACAGCAGCACTGATGATCACTGTTAATTTGTCTACTATGAACAACCAACCAAACCCTCTACATCTTTATCACAGTATACCTATGTATATGTAGGAAGATGGGCCTGTTGAGCTTCCTTATGTTGCCTTTAATACTGATATCCAATAAGTAAAAGGCCAAATATAAAGTGGCTGAATGAAGGATTTAGGTTTTATCTGGTTAACGTTTTTTTTAACTTTACAAAACAGATTTTGCGAACTTGGGAGAATTTCTGGAAAGGCTGGCTGTTGTGACATTTTGAGAAACAGCCACCTCAAGAGTTTTAAAGAAGCCATTAATTCTCAGGTTATTTGAACAGCTGGTTATACTAAAATTGCAGGTAGGGGATGAGGCCTGTTAAAGCAGATTATGGTGTTCCCATGAACAGGTGCACATTTGTATGGTTAAATATGCTGTGGGTTTGGATGGACTATCCAAAAATTGATCAATAACTACATGTAGGCCTGGCAACTATGCTGGTTCACTCCAAAGATGACTGCTGTGTAACCCATTTTGAAGATAAATGCAGTTTTTGTCATTTTTCCTGAATCCATTTTTGTGTTCAGTCTACATACTATTCAAATTTCAACAGAGAACAATGTATACATCCAGGGCACAAGCTATATGTTAGTCTTTGCAGCACATGTAGGAGTGTGCACCGCCATTGATTCCCTAAGATTTTGAAAATCCATGACTGTCTCCATTTATGTGCAAGCAGAAAGAGCTGCAGATTAGCAGTCAACCCCCCACCTTTTCATACAGTACAGAATGGTATATTTACATTATTGTATTTTCTCTAAAAATACAATATTTACTTCTATAGCCAAATTTGGTTTGTTAGTGTAATTACTGCGCCCAACGTTTATACAGAGAATTTCAAGGTTGTATTACACCCTGTAATACTCTCACCAAGATTAACACCTTTCCCTCCGATCTTTTTGGGATCTCAATAGAATTACAGTGCTCTGACCTGACAAACTGCACCACTACTTTGCAGACTGTCAACAAGTACATCTGGGTTGTTTACATTTGGTGAACTTGGATCTAATAACTAGGGGTGCACCGAAATTTCGGCCACCGAAAATTTTCGGCCGAAAAGGCCATTTTTGTTTCAGGCCGGAATAAAAACACGCCGAAGATGCCCCGCCCCGCCCATCATATCCTGGCGCAGCACAGGTTAGGTTTCACTCACGCTGGAGCTGTTAGATCACGCGTCTCTCCATGAACGACAAAGCATGTCAGCGGTGAGAGACTCTTCAGTGCAGCATCTCATGTGCTTAATGAGAAGAGGAACCGTCTCTCCGGCCAAAAAGCGGAGCAACTTTTGTTCCTAAAGAAAAACCTGCCACGTTTGTTGAACTAAACAGCAGTACAATGTTGCATAGTTGCATTAAAGTTTGTGTAGCACTGCTAGCTACCTAGGCTATGTTGTTTACAGTTTGGAAGTTCTATGGCTGTTTTTGCACCGTTTTGCACAGCAATTTAAAATGTTTGTGTTACATAAAACTTGATTATTTGGTATTGTTAAAAATATTTTAGATTTTAATTTCAGATTCATCAAATTCAAGTAATTATATATATACACACACACACACACACACACACACAATTATAGAGTACGCGTGTTTTAAAAATTTGAAGTTTTTAAAAGAAGCCATTTTCGGTTTCGGCCAAATGCATCCTAAATTTTCGGTTTCGGCCCAGAATTTTCATTTCGGTGCATCACTACTAATAACCTTTTATATCCATGCAGGCATCTGACAGAACTTATACCCACATGTAGTTGCCTGCATAGACCACAAGGTGGCAATAAAACCAAAGCAATTTTCATTTTGTTAGCCATCATGTTCTGTGCCCATGATGGCTTCCAGACAAAGTATGACCCTGAAGGAAAAAATCATTTCCACCGCAGGTCTGTCACATCTATGTAACTTCAGTGTGCCTGTGAGAAATGTGATCTTGCTTGTATCTCCACATGCAGCCGGGACTTGTGCTCCTGTGTTTACCACTTTGTTAAAGCCAAAATTTCCAGCTTTTAAATTGTAAGCAATTTGGCTAGGGCTTAGTAAGAATTACAGTAAAATATTCTCCATCAAAGCAGGTGCCTCTACCCACCAGCAAGCATTTTCTGATCACTTACCATTTGAAGTCTGTACTTTTAGTGCAGCCTCATTTAGTATTTTACTAAAAAAAATGTTCAAATTATATTTTGTAAAGTACCTTGAGCTGCATTTTGTGTAGGATTAAGGGTGCCATGATATACAAAATACACAATTCAAAGACATTTCCACTTTTATTATAACAAACTCTGCAAATCACAATTAAAAATGTTTTAAAAAATTTGAGAGCAGCAAAAGCTATTGCCTCAAAAAAAAAAAAGTCCAAGCAAATTTACACCAACAGTAATCATAGAACAAGTGACAGCAAAAGAATTGGTGATCTGAGTTAAAGGAGTCATTCATAAAGATTCATACACTTTAGCAGAAAGAGCCTACACTGGTACTGAATATTTGACTTGTTCATATAAATAACACACAAGCTTCTCTGGTACTATGAATCCAGCCTACGCAGTAACAAGTGGGTTAAGCGCTGTCCATTGCACCGATTTCTAGTGAGTACATTCACAATTTTCCACAAACTGTACACTGCAATGCACTAAACATTGTAGCATGTGGACAGCGTTTTCTACAACTTGTACAGTATCTCTGGTGTTTGACCACCCACAGGTGTCAACTAAGTGGATCGTATACTGAATAGTAAGCACAGACTGTAGCTCTTTCTTAGGGGTAAACAGTCATTTAAATCCTGAAGGCATTTGATAAAATATTACAGTAATATCACAGGGTAGCCCTGCAAAAACTTAAAATTAAGTGTACCAGTTGCCTCTTGGCAATGCTTCTTTCTCTGAGTTGGACTAGCATGAATGTCAAGTGTCCCTTCAGCCTATGAAACCCAGTCCTGTCCTGTTCAAACATATTCCTTGGAGGTGGAGGTGGCGGGCTTTGGGTACCTTGGTGCAGATTTGCCTCTTCGGCAGGATGCTGCCATCTTGGCACCTCCCACTACAGACAGGAATGCTCCAGCCCAGGCAATGAAGACGGCAGCGCCAAACTCATACCTTGAGAGAGAGATTTACAGTCAACCAAAATGGTAAACATGATAGTAGAGCTCTAACACACAGCAAGCATGTTGCAATACTTTCAGCAGCACTAGAAGAGTGCCTGAATGCATGCAAAATGTTTAGATAGAGGAGGGTGGCCAACTTAAAGCTAAACTAAGACACTGCCATGTACTTACTTTGTATTGACAGGGGTGAAAGGATTGTAGAAGGCCTGGATGATGTCATAGGTAAACCAAGAGCAGGCAATAACAGCACACAAAGCTGAGGGAGAATAAAGGACAACATCAGTTAAATGGTTAAGACACAAACACCATTAACAAACAAAGTGAATGGCTTACCTCCAACAAGGATAACAATGCCACCAGTCATGGCAATGCGGGACTTCTTCGTTTTGTCATCTCCTCCGCAAGTGGTGCACTTCATTCCCATGGTGGATACACCCAGGCCTACTACCGTTAGAACTATACTCACAACCATGAGGGCGCGGGTTGCCTGGAGGGCACCTGGATAAGGAGACAGGACGGGGTTAAGCCATCCGTTAATATGACAGATATCTAATACTTAGTCTGTACATGGAGGCAAGGGATAAAGGTGTGACGACTGACAGGTTTTATTGTAGCAGAACAACAAAAAAAAGCTACTGGCATTGGAATTAATTTCTACAGTGTTTGGTGGTGATGAAGCTTCTACTAAAAACTCTGCAGAGTTGCTTTAGTGCATTTTGAAGCCACTATTTGTTTTTTTGGAGGGGGTTGGAGAACAGTGGTGTATTGCAAGCACTGCGCATGTACAACCAAGTGGCCTCTGTCTCTTGTGTCTCATTGCCACACCCTCTAACAACACACCACAAAAACTGGCTCTAACCAGAAGACCAAAGAAACTCTGGAGCGCGGAACAAGGGAGTGAGTGTGTGTCTGTGCGCAAGTCAGAAACAGGTCTAACCAGGTTTCAGATGTCATTATGAGGAAGACACTCCCAGTTTCATTGTACACTCACTCCATTTTTTTGCAGGTGGACATTTTATATAGTCAAGAAAATGTCCCAACAAACACAGGCCCTCTCTAGAATATGAATAATGTCCAATATTGGCTGCTCCCAAACAGTCAAAATCTAGTTTCAGCCAATTTTCACAGCTTTGGCATGCACTGTTCCCAAACTTCAGATGTGCACTGATAAGTTTTTTTTTTGGCTCAAGTATGAATAAGGACCCATTATTTGTTCACTTGCTCTACATCTAACCACAATTTTAATCACAGCGTTTATCAAGGTTGGTGTGTGTTCATGTTTGAAGAGATAAGACCCACTGTTCTGAAAGATATTCTATCAAATGTTTTGATAAGCAACATGTATTCCAAAAAAAACTGATAAAAATAAAAAGCATAATGAACCCATCAGTTTATGGATTTCTAGTTCACATCTACATGAAAAATCACAACTTTAAGAGCATTTTTACAAACATGCTGCAAGATTAATATACAGGGAGGGACCTGTGTAAACTGCCTGCACAAAACTACAGGCAGTTTGGCCTGGGGGTAGTCGATTAATCAGTTACATTTTAAGCTTATACAATGGAGAGCTCAACTATAATGCTACCATTGATCATTTAGCCACTGCTTTATGGTCCAACGGTGCAATAGCAGACACACCTTGTTCATCATGGAGTTATGACTTTGAAAAAGGAAATGCAAAATGTTCCAACTTCTTCATTTAGCTTTAGATGTTTCGATAAAGGCCTGCAAAAATTTTACCTACTACAACCCTAAAGCAGGGGCCTTTGCAAATGTTTGATCCTTTGATTATGCAAATGGTGTGTCCAAACACTAGGAGACAATGAAGCCAATGCTGCATTTGATACATTTTTCCAAATCCCGTGTATGAATGTCAATATTCTGGGGCCAAATTGTACATGTTCATTTGAGGCTAAAGAAACTGTTTGTGGAGCTGGTATTTAGACTAAACAGTGACTCGTACTAAACCTGTAACACAACTCAAGACCTATGGCGTTCTCCACACCTCAACACAAACGGGAGTGGAGTGGGGGAGGTTGTCCTGGACAATGGCTACTGAATAAATCATTGTCAAGATGTAAACAAGTTATTCACACACTCCCACATATAAAATAGAAATAATGTAAAAATTTTAAACGTGGCTTTTTAACAGTGATTCAAGCTGCCCTACTGCACAGCATATTACAGTGTAGTTTAAACAAAATCAGTTGCGTTCTGGGCGAATAAAGGGGAGTTAATAAGTGACAAAACCGGTTAACCCACTGGAATCCCACTCATTTGAACCAAGTAAAACATGAGCTAAAGAAAAAGGTGAGATTTTTATATTCCTACAGCGAACTCCAATTTTTACATTTCAGGTTACACATTAACTATTATTTTCTTTTTGGTATAGGAAACAGTCACACTATTAACCTTTAGACCAGATTGATTTCCTAGAAAACTGCGTTAATAGTAGTCTATAACGGTTCAGACTATAAGGGCATTACAATAAGTATTTTATTTTTTTAAAAATAAATTAAAACCAGTTTGTGTTCCCAAAAACAAGAAGCATAAGCTTACTTACTGTTGAGCTGCAGTATAGAGTCGTAGACTTTGCACTGCATTTGGCCTGTGCTCTGGTACGCACAGGACATCCACAGTCCTTCATACATGGACACTGCTGTTATGATGTTGTCTCCAACATAAGCAGACATCTTCCACTGGGGCATAATGGTACCAACTATCAACGCAATTGCGCCCAGCAGGGCCAGGGCGAAGCCCAGCATCTGAACACCGGAGTTGGCCATTTGTACTCCTCCTTCAACGAGTTGACTTCGAAGAAACAAAGACGACGTCCACCTGCTCTGAAGGCACAAATCCCCGACTCCCTATCGGACGGTGTTTTAGTTAAGTCTGTTTTGTTGCTACCAGAGTAACTTCTTCTGTTGTTATCTATGTACGTATTCCTTAGCGCTCCAGAAATAAGATAGCAGAAACCGTGATATTTCAATTTATAAGCGTTCTCAGATGATTCTTCACACACCTGTTCCTCAGCCGCACCTTGAATGGGGAGGGGAAAGCGGGCACGAGCTGTTTGAAACGGTTTCTGTAACAGGTGGGCGGGGATGCGCACGCAGTTTCGACTCATCAGTGGTGGCAGTAGACACCTGTAAGTTTCATGATGTCAGTGTTTCCTGAAACAGACCCCTGTGCCGCAAGACAGATGCCCTACATGGCTATCCACCTGCTTCACATGTGAGGCCATAAAACAAAACAAAACGAACAAACAAAAACAGCCATTGTTAATTTTGTTGAACCATCTCGAAGGGGATTGAAGATATTTTAATAACCAAACAATATATAGTTAATTTGGTTTATTATTTGTTTCGTGTCAATTCAGTCTAGAATTAAAATATTAATATTATGTGTAATACTAATTAGGTAATATAACATTAAATAAAAGTCTGTTTTGTTTTCAATATATCTTTATTTATAGCTGAGGTGTTTGTGAACTTTATTTACAACATATTACTAATATAAACGCCTATTGTATGTTTGAGATTTTAAAATAGATATACAAATGTAACTGGAAATCAGGCACTGCATTTCAGCTTTGAAAAGTTAAACAAATACATTCAATTTACAGGTAAAATATTACTATAATATATATAAAATACAAATTAGGTCATGCAAAATAAAAAAGATTTGACAAAAAAAAAAACATTTGAATGTAACGTATGTCCATGAGCTGTTTTAAAGGTCCAGTCTTGAGCCAGCATTAGTCATAAACACTACAAGATGCCTGGTAAGCAGAAAATAGGACAATGTAAAACCACAAGGTATTTTGCAATAATTTGATGCTATTTCATAACTACCCAATAAATATGGCTACAATAGTTAACGAAACACTTATTGTTATAGTAAGCTATTGTAGGGTTATATATGAAACTGGAATCAGAACTTTGACCTCAGTGAGGTTGAGTTCTGTAAGTAATTACTGTATAATACAAGTGTTTGCTCTGTTTTTACAAATAGCACCACAGAGTCATGATGCTGTTTAGCCGTTTATTGATGCCAATTCATGCAAAGATAACTTAGCACACCGCTGCTTTAAAAATGTGAAAAATGGGAAGTTGAATGAGATATTACGTTCTGCACAAGCATAAAACAAAAAACATTTTAGACATCTCCATGGTTTTAATTTTGGGAAGCAAACTACATGAGTAAAATAAAATAACAGTTTGATGTGATCACAAGTTATTTCATTATGAAATTCTAAATTTACTGTCAGTAAAGTACAGTAAGTAAACTTGTACTTATTTGTACTGCTAAGGAGAATGAGCTTTCACCTCAAACACACTTTTAATTATACACAAACTGAACAACCATCATTTAAACGTGTTTGTTGGGTAATAATAAAGTGGCATGTGTTTTTTGTCAAAATTGGTTGGTCAGAAAAGAAAAAACTGGCATGAATCTGTATGACCTGTTTGTTTTTTTCCAGAATGTTCATTTACATATTTCATGCAAATATCACACAGTGTGTTTGCATGTATATATGTTTATTCATTTAAGACAATGCTAAGTCTACATTTTATAACTCATATCACATACTATCATATCACATTCTGTCACATAATTTTTGTTTGTAATGTTTATATTCAGCATGTGTGCGTTTTGTTTTTGTGTGCTTCATCTACAGGAGGCATTACACTGCGCTGACAGAAGCGCATGCTTTATCTGCCAAAGGTCAACAGAACTGAAAGGAACTCCAGTCTCTTGGGAAGGAGGTAAAACCAGGAAAATGAACACAAAAACACACTTTAGAAGCTTAATGTTAACCTAGATGAAAGGGTTAAAATAACATTTACAGGTTTAAGTACTGACCATTGATGGACACTATTATTATAACAACATATAGTAAATCCAGTTCATGATACATACTGTACATAATGTACACTTTCAAAGAAACTATCACCAGTAATCATCAAACCTTGGGAAGCAGAGTATGAGTCAGGGTTTACTGCCAAGGTTATGTGAGCAAGCTGACACCTGACACTGTTTTAACCTAAGTGTTAGACTGCTAGGGTATGTCTGAAACCCTCACTCCCAAAAATTAATGAGATATTCAGACCACAGTGTTTCCAGTCAAAGCACATTTTACTGCATGTGTTTATAACAACCAGGTTCCACTTCTTACTGCCTTTATATTCTCTCACCCACACTTCCCATTAAGACACTGTCATAGTAAGAAAAGAATAAAGGAGAACTTCTTTTTTTTGGTTTTCCATAATTAATTACTTTTTATGTTTGAGTTTTATAGCCAGCATTTTGTATTAGCTAATATTCTGCTCTTCCTTACACTACCATTCAAAAGTTTGAACACACCTTCCCATTGAAATGAATGGGAAAGTGTGTCAAAACCTTTAACTGGTAGTGTATTACTATTTACTCTATGTGAGCCACCACCATCACCTCCACAACCGCAAACACTGACTGATACACCTTCATCAGAGAAAACATATTCCTCCTGACACACTAACAAAAGGAAGTTCAGACTGAGCGTTTTATTTTCAGAAGCACTGTGCCCTGAGGGTGTTGGCTTACTGTTTTCACATGCACTCTGACAACACAAACGTAAACTAGGGAATCCCCGGGCTTTCAAATCTATTTTGTTTCATTCAATTAGAAATGAAGCCTTATTATAGGCCATGTCAGATGTGCTGTGATTTTACCTTGAGAATGTGATTTTCAAAATAAATCTGTGATGAATAGGGCAGCACAATAGCACAGTGGTTAATGCTGTCGCCTCACAGCAAGAAGGCTCCAAGTTTGAGCATGTGTGGAGTCTGCATGTTCTCCCTGTGCCTGCATGGCTTCTCTCAGGGTACTCCAGCTTTGTCCATCAGAATCAGTTTCTGTTTTGATTTCATTCCGTGTTGCTCTGATACAGTGTGTGATACTGTATCATAGTGGCGGCTTCAGAGTTGATTGAGTTCCTTCACCAGTCAGACTGGTTTTATAATGAGCACTTCCTGCTATCTGAGCACTTAATAATGTTGAATATGCTGTCAAAATACAGTTCCCAGGCACAGGCAGGCCCACCAAGCACAGGGGAGTGAATTTCTCATTGAGACCTTTACTAGATTGCATCATAATGTCTAAAAATACACAGTGATGATCATGTGTCGAAAGTAGGGGACTATGATACTTGCACAATGCTAAGACTTTTTACATTGATACTGATAGTCACTGTGTAAGTCATCGTATACAGCAGGTAGAACACAGGAAGTAAGGAGTAAATATTTCTTACTTGTCACAAGATTCTTGTTCTGTGAAATGACTCATATGAAGAGAAACAGATGACACTGACACCAGGTAATGATTATTTTGCATTTTGGGCGGGTCTGATCTGGGTTGGCTGTCTCAGTTTTCTTCAGCACTTTATTTACTCTGCTCTTAAAGGTAAATCTAAAGCCACTGGGCTGTTGGAGTGTGTTGGTAACTCTAGAACAGACTGGGCCTTCAAAACTGGAGAAGTAGATTCTTTCTTTTTAGGCTGTGCCATGTATTTGTGTGGGTTGTGTAACTACATAATTAAATCACACTATAAACAAGGAAATGATAATTTAGCTCAAGTTATTCCCTACCTGAACATCTTACTAACACATTTCTTTGATATTTTGAATCACTGACTTTGGTTAGCTCACTGCTTTTTTACTTTGATCACTGTTAGGATTTAACTTTGACCTTTAACACTGATGTGTTGATGCTATTATACTGACTCTTTGTAATCCTTTTACCCTGAGTGGGCATGTTGTACCATAATTCACTGGAGTAGGATACAGGACAAAATGTTACATAAAGCTAGACGAAACCACCAGAGCTATGAAATTCTGCCATCTGCTGGTTACTGTGAATATAAAACTAAGCTAATAAACAGCCATTTTACCTCCTGTTCAATGACTGTAGCTGAAGCACTACATATGCTGTTTACCAATTTTGTCCAAAATGACTAGATGATCATGTTTGATGACAATTTTCTAAAGTTACTAAACTCTGAACTCAGAGTTTATCATGTTTTCTATACATACATCATTTACAAATGTGATAAAATTGTGAAGGGAGCAAACACTCGCTTTCCTCAAAGCAGTTAGAAGTGTCTGAATTATATTCCAGTGCACATATATTTAACAGATGAATGGATTTTGTTCATGAGCTTTGTCAGTTGTCTCACACTGTATTATACAGTATAGTTTTTTCACTGATATTTTTGCTTTTTATTGAAAATTACAGATACTGACCACCTATATGGTGGTAGGTACACCTACATGCATCTTTGATGACTTTATTAACTGCTTCATGGCTGTTTTCCATCCATCTCAAGCTGGTGTCAGTAAATGAAAGACCAGTTGAACTGTGTAGTCAGAAGAACCCTGGCAGTTCAAACCTGGAAAAACAATGAAAACTGCATGAAGACAGAAGTGCTAAGGTTGTGATTTTGCCACATTTGTTAAAATTTAGCATGTAGATGCCTATAATGGAAACGTGCGCACAATGACGGTTTTGGTTTCTCCATCTTTATTTGGTGTAATGCCTTAATCCTAGTTTGCTACTGTACATTAAGAAATATAAAGCTCCATTCAGTCTGAGCACAGGCTAGTCCACTCTGTGTGGGTTTACTGAGACTAATCTTATGTAAATGCACAAGTGGTGCTTCTATTGGATCTGGGATGCCCCAGTAAAGCATCATGAATATTGTGCTTCCATAGGAATAAATGCTTACCCAATTTTTGGCACATTTAACTGTATATTGAGTACTGTAAAAACATACAGCTCATTGAGTGACCCTAAACACAGAAAGAGGAAGGACCAATACACAGAAGACTTAAACTAACAAGGAATTATTACACTAATTTGAAGGACTTTTAAAGAAAAGGGGAAAAGAGGACACAACACCAAAGGGCACTGCTTAGAATCATACAAATATATGTTATTTTATTGAATAATATTCCAGAATAAGACATCTCCTTTCAATTCATGTAGGAGTTATTGTAGAAACGTACACAGCTCAGATGGCAAACACAGAGAGAGGATGAATTGAGGGCTTGTGTCTTTAATACAGAGAGGGACTTGCCCCCAATAAGCCAATGAACAGTAACAAATGCATGCTTTGCAAAAAAAATCCCATGCCAGCCTAGACAGTAAGCTGCTATTATTGCCTATGTAGCCTGCAAATTCTCACTCTAGTTTTTTTTGTTTTCCCTTCTCGAGTGCAGGCTGGTAGGTTTCAATGCATACTGCTCCTCTTCTTTCCCACTTGTCTGCTTCCCAGAGTAGTCCAAAAAAAGCGTTACGCTTATCCTGCTTCCTTTGGCTCCTACTGTAAGGAGTCCAACATGTGTCTAAATCCCTGGTAACACTGCCTGAGGATTCAGGCCTTCTCCCTCAGTGCCAAGGCCCATTTTATTTATGGCTTTTTTTTTTTTGTTCTTTTAAATCGTTTTTATTGTCAGTTTTTCGGAAGACAGGAAAATTGGCTTGACAGAATAGTGAGTCCAAAAGAGCAGGAGAGAGAGGTTGTGGGTACTTCCTGGAAGACTTGAGTAACCATAATCCTTGAGACAACCAAGGCCATTACTGGGTTTGCCAGGACACACGTTGCCTTTAGGAGTTGTTGTTCTGCCATTTCCACATGAATACGTTGCATGTTTAGCAAACACACACCACGCATAGTGGAATTCAGTTTGGGTGAAATTCAGTTGTGAAAACAACAGTGCTGACCAAAGACAAAAACATGCCAGATACAAAGGAACATTTTGAGAGAGACAGCTATTCTGTATTTTGCTTCTGAGGAGTTTGCATTTGAAAGGAAAACAAGGAACAACTGAAAGACAATAAACAGACCTGACAAAATACATTAGACACTACTTGTATGTAAGTAAAGTGGAAACGTTACGCACATTTCTTCCATCCAAATGGGTTTTGTTGCATGGACCCACACCGTCATGCTGTATAGATATCAAGGGGAACATTTTACATTCTTCACTTTTGTAGCATTCCTCAAACTAGCCTGTCACTTAAACAGGAGAAACATGAGATGCAGGAGCAGAAATACTCAACAAACACAAAAGAAATGGCTTCTGGGTTGTACCTTTTAAAATGAAAGTGTATTTAATTAGAAAAATGCAGCATTGTAGGCAAGGCTCAATCATGTTGAAGTGTCATGCTCTAGTGAGCATGGTATGCATTTATTTTGTACTATAATTTAAGGACTGATTTATAGTTTATTTTTGATGGCTTGGATAATTCAGTTGCCAAAAAAAGATTCATATTCATATTCATTTTTTTTTTTACTCTTTAGGGGTCTTTAGGGGAGGTGGTTTATGTTATGCACCTGTGTTACCTTTAACAGGTATTGTATCTGTACATATCTTAAAGGACAGTATGACTGCTGACACTCACATAGATTCAAACAAGAGAAAACTCTTTGTTAGGTGTGATGTAGAGGCCAAGAGGAAATGAGGAAAACTCATCCTTCCAGCTGCCTTCTTTGTTGAGTTTACAGGTAGAAATCAAATAACAAACAGCCTTCCAAGTTCATTATAAACAAATAGATGTCCCCCTCTCAGAGAGACCTTGGGGAAATTTTTGCACCCATCACAGAGTGAATGTTCTCTTGTTTGTGTTTTATTGGATCTATCGATCACAGTTTCAGTCTCATGCCCTGTCTTTTTCTCCTTGGCTCTCTGTCTTGTCTGCCCTCACTCTTAATCATACTGTAGCTACACACACATACAGACATTATACACACACTGTAAGTATACACCCACACAGACAACATAGTGTTGAAAGAAAGTTAATGGGCTGTAGTTGCTGTAGGATGTGGTTAAAAAGATGTGTAGGAAAAGGATTATGACTTTAAACCTCTGAAGCGAGGGTACACAAACTAATTAGTCTTTTTCTTTTCCATGTTACTGCCTCACCGTTTGCTCTGTAAGATCTGACTTCCATTAATGCATTCTCAATGGCAAAACACAACACTTCCTGACTTCAGACTACAATAACAATAATCCTCATAATATCTCTTCTACTCTGCCATTTTCTCCTGTTTTAAAATCAAAGGCATATCAAGTTTCAATTCACAACTGCTTTCTGTTGCCTTCATTGTACTAACTTTTCTTTCAACCTCTCAAGATCCTTTACATTCATTGTGAAAACCTTGACCTACTTTGTTCTTCATGTCACTTTCCACATCAGACTACTTAACAAGTTCCGTTCCTGTCTGCATTTCATATTTAGTATAATAAAGTGACAAACTGACATTTTTGTCATGGTTGGTGTCAATTCTACAAGTTTACTTGCATTGTATTTGCCCTGCACTGTAAAGTATCAATGCAACAATTAGCCATATTAAGGAATGTGGTGAAAACTGAATATCTCTGGGCTTTGGAGTGTTAGTTGGGTAAAGAGGAAACCTCTTTGACCTTTGGGGAATTATAAGATGCTGTTTCACCATTTTAGACAAAAATTTGTTTTGATATAATTGAGGAAGTAATTGACAGATTAATCAGCAATGAACGTATTATTTGTTGCAGCCTTGCTATATAGGCAAAGAGGAAAAGTGCATTTATGTATCATTTCGGCATACAGGATTCCCTTGCTGTCACCGGAGTCACTGCTTTTCACTTCGAAGGACTGTCCTCTTATAGAACAGATTTACAATCAACTTTGAATGTGAACTGGAATGAAGATGGACTACACAGATGTTGAAACTACATGGGTGCTGGCAGCTAAAATAAGCCTGTAGCACTGTATGGTAGGTAGGTAGGTACTTTATTGATCCCTCAATTAGGAAATTTCAATGTTTCAGCACTAATGGAGAACAAACAACATAACACCATGAGAACAAGCACCGCACACACACCCTGTATAGTACCTCCTGTGCTCAGAATACAATACCATACAGTAGTTAATTGTGCAGAGTTAGAAAACCATACTAGACTGTTCCAGAGTCACCAGGGAGAGGAAGCATTAGCTCATCAAAAACAGAGATTTGTAGGTCTACAATACAAAATCTGCTGCACAGACAAAATTCAAATTTGGACTGAATGACATTCCCTCTGGAAAAGCTCCGAAAATTTAAAGATTTGATGGAAGAAATACTAAGCCTTCCAACTAATTTCCTCCATAGACCCCCTGTCATAAATAGCCAACAGTGCCTCACTGTATATACTTATTTGTCTTACATTCATTATCATATTCATGCTGCATAAAAGCCTGCCAAGAAACTTGCTTACTTTATTGTTGAAATTCCTTATCAACACTCCTTGAGAAGCCACCTGCTAATCCTTCACTCTTTCAAAATAACTGCTGACCTCTTTTCACTCCAACACAATATCAGACTTATTGTCGCCCTCAGTACAGCACTTTCATAAAGCCTCCGTTTCACATTCTGTATCCTGTCTTCACATTGTGTTACCATCAAAAATATATACCCTCCCCAGTGCACTGAACTTGTCATTGGCATTTTAACAATGTGCCTTTTACATCTCTTCCTGACATAGCAAGGGAAGGACTTTTTGCTTGCTGTCTGTGTTTGTGTGTGTTATCCATGCACATTCACTTGCACAGTGATGCACACTGACTGAACATTGCGGTGACACGTTGTTTTTTTTTAACTCAGTGGCTTACCAGAGCGGTCAGCACCTGAGAACAGACAGCAGTGAAATAACCTGATAGCTCCCATGTAGAAGCCTCAGCTTCTGTCACATCATTGCATATTTTTTCTCCCTGATTGAAAAAACCCAGTGCAAATCAAAGCATTAGCTGTTACTCAGAGACTCTCTTCTCTGCTGTTTTAAATGTTCTCAGCCTCTCTTAAGTCAGTAAAAAGGGTACACAAGGGCTGACCCACTAAGTATCACCTGTTCACAGACTCAGACATATCAAAGACATGGTGCTGTGTCCTGCCATATGGACATGGTAGAGGTTACCTGTAGTATTGCTATCTAACCTCTGTATGGGCACTCATTCACATGCAGAATCTTAGAGTGCATCCATACTCCCGAAGATATCTACACAGAGTGGTTAAAACACGATGACACCAAGCCATTCACTCAAAAATGACATTTTTAAGGCGACTCTTCCAATGTGATTTAATAAAGCTAATAAGTGAATAAGCTGCCAGACATCCTCAGAATAACAAGTGCTCCAGCTCAGAGGTTCCTCTGGCTTTATGCTGAGTGAAGTATACAATACAGTACATTTATCAGCTGACTGACCTCAGATCTGTTCTGTATTTAATAGTCTTTAATGAACTAGTGCAATTATATCTGGTAACCTGGTAGAGAAGAAAGGCTGGAAGGAGGATGTTACTCACTCTTTCATTCAGACAACTTTTTGACAATCATTTTGATCCAATGTTTCTATTACCTTCCATTATTCTCATATCTTACAGGCAGACTTTCCATGTTCCTATGTACTTCCATTTGGGCTGCCATTAATCGCAATTATTATCAGAAGATTAAAAAAAAAAAAACAATGGCTTCATAAACTACTCTTTAATTTTGTCCATGCATTTCATCTCATCTTGCTCTGCTGACCTGACCTGACCCAGGTTCCTGCAGATATCTTTCCAGTTTTGATTCACTTGGAGCTTTAGTTGACCTTGCTGAGTAGCTTAGCTGGTCTGCAGATGGTGGGTCAAAAGCTGGCTGAGCCACCCTCTAACCAACTGTAGTGCTCAAGAGGGGGCCCATGGGTGAGGATTATGATGCCAAGTCAGCACTGGAAATGTGAGAGTGGTGAATATATACCACAGTAGAGCAGTCGGTGGGTAGGCTTGTAATAATGATGAAATTGTCATTGGCATGAAGAAGCTTCATGTATGGCATAGAAATGAAGAAGACTGTGCATTAGGAAATCACCGGGTGCAGAGAGAGACAAACGGTGGTAGTGGGAGGTGGTAGTAGTTCTGCTTCTGGTTCCTGGGATTTCTTTCTGTGGTGACAGGTGAGGGGGGGACTCCTCTCTTAGGCCTCCATGGCTGCTGATGGACTGCTGACCCTTTATCCCTCAGCATCTTGTAGTACACATCTGGAACATGGTGGCCAGTGAGGACAATCCCCACAGCCACAGTGCATAATCAGTGATGATGTTCCCAGTGTTACTTCCTGCCTTTGTCCCACCCTCAGTCTCCTGTGCTATGAGGCATCAACCTTGGGAGCTTCTTTCCATCCATTCTTTAGGGATGGTGAATCTGATGTTTTCACATTCTTCCTAGGAGGACTCATTGGTTCACTGGCGAGCTCATGTAATGATGGCTCCTTATACATTGCAACTGTGTGACAGAGAAGTTGTTGGTTAAAAATTAAGGCAGTGAATAATAACTAATAAAGATAACCTCTTTTGAACTGTGCTCAAGGGACATAAGGGGCACAAACCCTCTATAACTTTGGGCAGGAAGTGTGCGGCTCCTTTGGTCTTTTTTACCCGGTTGCCCTTCATGACCTGGCCGTCACGACTGATACCGATATACCAGGAGCGGCCAGACTGGGTCTGGCGATAGAGCATGGAGGAGTATGTAACATAGTAGTTCTCAAACACACTCTCCTTAAACCTACACTCCGACGTGAAGTGCTCCTGGAAATAAATATGAAAAAGGGGTGTTCATATTAGCAAACAAAGCACAAGAAGAAAAATAATGTGCAGATGTCACAAGAAAACATTTGAGTCCTTGAAGAAAAACATGCATGTAAGCATAGACTAGAAAGCAATGTTACAGTGAAGAACATAATTAGATTTCCTGATGGAAAGGACAAATTACACTGCCTTCAGAGGCATCCCAAGCTCAGAAAACCAACCTACCTAGCCTATAATGTAAAGAGTATGCAATTGCTCTCTGGTATGTCATCCTGCTTCCATTCCTTAAGACTACTCTCATATACATTTTGTCTGTGACTAGCTTTATCTGAATAGACATTACAAAATCACATTAGCAGAACTTGCATCAAATCTAACAGTTAGTTGTAGCAGTTCTTCTCCTCTCTCTCTGTCTTCAACCTAAGGATTGCTGAACTCTACTTAATGTTGGCTGGTGATATTAACTGATGGTGACAGATATACATCTCTCTTAGTCTCCATCAGGGTCTTGACAGGGTCCTTCACCTGTCAGAGAGCAAAGACAATCTGCTGGATTGATCACATTAGAGCAGCAGGACAGAAATTGGTGGGTGGAGAATTTCTCTGAAACTCAGGATGACAGAAGAGGGCGAGCAGATCACAACTTGGCACAGACAAGCTTTAATAAACAGTGAAAAGTAAACAGAGAAGTCCAGTTTCACACTTGTCACAGATCATCATCTATTTCCTTTATAGGGAGACATCATCATTTGGCTGAGATGGCAATTTAGAATTTTGCGCCCTTCCGGAATCCACTCCTGTTCTTTTGCACCCTTTACTCAACAAAGTTTCCTGCTCTCATTGCCACCACAATGCTATTTTAAGATCTTCTGGTTTGATATCTTCTGCTGTGCTAACAGAAAGAGGATGGGATCGATAGATGATCCACCTCATTCATTATTAATCAAGCCAGAGAGCAAGAAGATTGGGAAGTGCAGGAGACAGAAGAGGAAAGGTAAGAGAGACAGGAAAGAGAGATATCTCACTTGGAGAGGACAGAGTGGTTGCTGGACAATAAAGAAGATTAGGAAGAGAGAAAAAGAGTGTCCTGCTTCTTTGCATCTCAGCTGGGACCAGAACACTGGGCTGACAACGGTTTTAACCGCCAACATCCACTGAATTGACGTTCCTATCCCACTGGACAGAAAATCACTCCAACAAAATACCCTTCAGCTCACAACCCCTGAAATTATATCAGTGATAACCCCTCTCCCAAATCTTCCCCGAATTTCCCTTCATAGTCAGTCTCCTGAGATTAGCCTAATGATAAAGCCCATATTCTCTGTTTCATCCAAAGGTCTGCAGAAAAAAATTATATTCAGAGAGCAGACAAGACAATGAAATAAATGACCTTATAATGAAGTGAGTTTTCATGATAAGATACCACAGTGCACAATACTGTACGTCTGTCCTGAACTAATATGGATATGTTGCTTTAATTATTGCCTTCTCTGCCTGACCTTGATGTAACCTTTGGATCTCTGCAAAGCTGCAGAAACCATCCAGGGTGTTCCTATTGAAGACATCACTCAGCACCAGATTTACCTGCACAGCTGAATAATTGCTGAAGATGTGCTGAGCGCTGCACATTTTAAAGAGCGATGGCAGACTATTTACATCTAAATGGTGGGTGCTCGGACAGAAAATAAAAACATCTTTCTTTAAATGGGTGTTACTGAGAGATTTGGATAGCTTCCCCTCAGTGTGTCTCAAGCCAAAAATGAATTTAAATAAAAGCAGCTGAGAAAGTTCATTCATATTGTCCATGCTGTGAATCTCTAAGATGGGAAGAACCCTTTTATGTTGCAGAGCATCATCCTCTCCCACCCAAACACAGCCTCCTTCTTCATCTCCCGTGTCTGATTACATCTATTCAGTCTACTTCAGGAAGCTTAACTTTCCAAGCAATCATACACTGGAATTGCACTTACCACCAAATAAGGACAGTGAAGTAGTAGCATTCACAGAGCAGAGTTCCCTAAACCTAAAATGTTTTCCCTAGATATAAATTAGGATATAAGAGCGGGAATGAAAGTTATGACTAAAACAATACTGAAACTATGAATGATGCTTATCTTTTTTACTTTCATTTCACTGTGCTTGTACAAATATGAAATCACAGCTAATGTTCCTGGAAATGTGGCTCTACCTCTGGAATTCAGAACATGTAGCATTACCGACATGCAGTTGTTTGCAATCCCTTATTTAGACAGCAGGGGTCACAGTGTCTTGCCGGTTTCCTGCATCTACTGACTGTCCCATCAGCTCCCTGAGTAATCTATGGGAAGCTGTGAAATCTGCCCAGCTGCAGTAATCTTACCATGTTGCCATAGCATTATACCATATAGTAATACCACTGCAGCAACCATTTGAAATGCAAAGCCAATTCACAGCAATCTTACACTGACACATGCATATAATCTGTGTGTGTTTGCAGAGCAGGAAGCCATCAGCATGTTGCTGATGCTGTTGTTCAGCCAGATGTAGATGCACTGTGACACGCTGCATTACGTAAGTCAGTAGAGTGCAGATGTGCTTATTAAGAAGGCTTTACAGAGGATGAGACTGGCAGCTAATACTGTCTAACCCCCACACATGTATTGTCTGTCTCTGATTCTTTATGATAGCCCACAGAGGCATGACACTCACATGACTCATGCCTCTCTAGAGTTGAATGACAGCTGGACGGCTCCTGTCAATATAATGCAGCTAAGGAAAGGCATGGTAACCGAACCTCAGTGACAGAGGCTCCGCACTGCCTGCTGCAGTCTTTATCGAAAAATGTTTTTAATTTACAGTAGCAGCTGAATATGTATGATCATCATCACCACCATAGCTGTTTCATATCATAATGGTTACATTTTAATATATCCCTGAGGCACTTGTGGAAGGAGAGTCTTGAATTTATCAGAAAGAATAGGTTTTGCCTTCCCTAAGTGTTCTTAATTGGCTGTTTGGCAAAATGTCTCTTTTCATCACTTCATTCCTGCACTTCATTTCTTTCTAAAGGCCCATACACATTGTGTAGCAAATGTTGTGAAGTCTTTGGTCCATCAAAACAGGTAGGCCTAGATGTCACTACATGTCCACAACAATCAGTTTAAAGCTTTTGTGATCACATTCTTATTAAATGACCACTGTTAAAACCTATATAAAAATAGCTTTAAGATTAGGCTCTTTACATGACACACACTGCATGATTTCATTTGCCGCTGTCAAGCCAACCTGGCCCAGAATGGATCAGACTTGGTCCTATTCTGTCCGACCTGTTGTAACACCCAAATCCCTTGCATAATTTTCAGAGCAGTCAAGAAGTGTGTCCCCACCTTAACCAGACAAAGTTTAAATTAGTGACAGCTTTTATGATCTGCAATTGGTGATATTTATCAATTTAAATGGTGAAAGTGATGCACAGCACCAGTAAAACTGAGAAACTGCTACTTGAACATTTTGTGCAATCTTCTGTGCTAATAAGGAGGGAGGAGAGGTTAATTAGCATCTGAGTTTAGCAAATGCATAGCTTACATTTTGCCAGTGTCTCAAACTGAAATCAGAGTCACTCACTGGTGCACACAAATGAATTTTTACATCACACTGATACACTGTAATTCTCATTGTAGAACCTGCAGTAGTAGTGAGCAGCACTGAAACACTAAGAAGATTTTAATCATTTGTAGGCACTCTCTGAATGTCAACTGTGCACAAACATCTGCATGAAGGCATCAGATATTTAGAAAAGCAGGCAGCACATGAGTCTAGATCTTGATTGGCACAAAAACTGCTTTTGTAGAAACACTCATTTCAGTGTCCTTCAATACAAGCCCTTCTCTTTCTCTCTCTCTCTCTCTCTTACACACACACACCACAGTCTCTTTCTCTGTCTATGAAGAGCACATAGATTATAAAATAGGGCAGGAACGAGCCAAGCTCTATTTTTGTATCAGACCAGCCATTTTCCTGTTGTCACCTACAGGTTGATTTACTGTATGTCTGAGACAAACCAGCAGGGGACTTTCTCTGCTTGTTACAGAGCCTGACCCAACATGTGTCTGTGGGGTGCATGAGAAAACAACATAATAACCACCAGTCAGCAGCCAAAGAGCTTGTATAATCAAGAGGATGTCAACATAACTGGAAGGAAAAGACAGTCAGTCAGTCACTGTGGCTTCTGATGAGTGCCAGTAATGAGCTTATTCTTCATAAATGAACACATTGTTTCACAAGCTCTCTTGGCATGCTTTTAAATGTAAAAGCAAATATAAACACACTATATCTATAGAGGGCCAGGTTATACCACCTGCACTTCTTCCTACACCAGCAAATTAGAGACACTATAGAGAATAATATGGGGTCATAAAATCAATAATGTATATTACACAAGAAGACAGCTGTTGTGTTGTACAGCACCTACTCATTCTTGTAACAGTATGTGTGTCTGTGTGCATGTGAAAGAGAGAGGAGATTCTCTGAAAGAGGTCAGTGTGAGATGCAGTACAGCTATTGACTGCTGCTGAGGATTCCCTTCTCCTCCCTGTTCACAGAGGTGAAGAACCACAGTTTAATACATGGTAATCACAGGCTCAGAGGCTAATAGAAGATGGTGATTTCGCCTTTACCTTTCACATGGATAAACATATTATTTCCCTATATTTTGTTGAAATCAACACACAAATTGACCACAAAAATGAGTAATAAGCAACACAGAACTCTCATATTGACATTATTTTCATATATCCCCTAAAATAACATCTGCTTTGATATTTTATTTTTATACCCTATAAATTAGTGAGCCAGTGATCTTATAGGCCTATAGGTTTAATTTAGGGACAGATTCCAACAGTAGTTCCACTTGGATCCCGTTCCAAGTAGGTAGAATACAAGGTTTTGTTAAGCTAATTGGCCAGTGAATTCCTTATTGAATCCTTCATTCATATTCTCTGTTGGGTCAGTTTTTTGGCTTGTCTCTCTGACACTACAGGCATTGGAAGGGAAAAAAAGATTGATGATGTGATAACTCAGTGACATTGTTGTTAACAACAAATATGCAGGATCGACTTTAATTTTCCAAAATCAGTAAAACAATTGCAAAATGTAATATTTGTGGGTGTGTACTCAAAAAAGAAGGGAGGAATGACATATCCTTTGTTTAACCCTCATGGCTCCTTTAAAAATCCATCCAAATCATTCCCTCATGACCAAAAATGTACACTTTGGAAAAACATCTCTAAAAATGTCATAAATTCATATTTTTACCACTTTAAACTAGCCAATCTTTTAAAACTACTTCTTCCTGAAACATACATATCAAATATTAATTATATTTTGGGATTTTTTAACCCTTAAAATGCCAGTATGTTGTCATAAGCCCTCTTTTTTCAATGGGAAAAAACAAAAAAAATGAAATAATTTTCAAAAAATACATTTCAACCAGTATTTGATTACTATTATTATTAGGCCCTGGGATGGGTCACTGACTGGCAGTAACATTGATTTTGATGCATTACATAAATTCACACACATTCACACCCAGACATAATGCATTGCTATAACATTAAATGCTATTTTTGATGCCATATTTATTTTATATATAAAGCAATGCACCGCACTCTGTTCCTAATGCATTTTGAAGTACTTGGTCCCAACTTGTAATTCTGATAGTCATCCACCAGACGGTGACATGTTTCCATTTTCGAAGCCTGCAGCCAAAACGAAACCAAAATGTACTTTTTCCACTGTTTTGCAAGGCTGACTTGGTAATAATGAATGAATTTGATAAAGTGCATATTGGTTTTTTTATGTTGTATTGATCCTGTGTGAGCCTCCGTGTGTTTGCGCGAATTCTCATGCGTGTTCTCGCGCATGTTCGCGAGCGAAATCACGTGCACGCGAAGCTGTTCTAGCATAAAATGAATAAAATAGGTTTGTGTGTGTCCAAATTCACAACTCCTTTCTTTTAAAAGGTCACACTCTTTGTTACATGGACTACTTTATGAGAATTGAATCACAACATGGCTGCCTCACTGCAGAGTCACTTCCCTGTTTAGCATTTCCTTGAAGCATGAGCTGAGTGGGCGCTCCTGTGCTCCTACGTGTGAACAGAGGTGTAAATTCAGAAATGCATAGACTCCTTCCATATTACATCAATAATGAGACACACTTTATATATCATTTTCATGCTTAGGAGCACACACTCAGCTCATGTCTCAACCCATACACTGTGCATGCGAAAGCGCTGCAGACAGTGGCTGAGCAGAGCCGATCCAGCATCAGCAGCCATGTTGTGACTCAATTCTCACAAAATAGTCCATGTAACAAAGAGTGTGACCTTCTAAAAGAAAGGAGTTGTGAATTTGGACACGCACAAACCCATTTTGTTCATTTTACGCCAGAACAGCTTCGCGTGCATGTGATTGCGCGCGCGAATACGCACGAGAATTCGCGCAACCACACAGAGACACACACTGGATCAATACAACATCAAAACTGATTTGCACTTTATCAAATTCATTCATTATTAGCAAGTCACCCGTGGTTGACTTGGTTTTATTTTGGCTGCAGGCTTCGAAAAAGAAACCATGTCACCATCTGGTGGATGAATTACAAGTTGGGACCATGTACTTCAAAATGCATTAGGAACAGAGCGCAGTGCATTGCTTTATTGTAGGATAAATATGGCATCAAAAATAGCGTTTTTAATGGGTTTCAATGTGACCAAATTGGTCACGAGGGAATGATTTGGATGGATTTTTCCTTAGCCATTTTAGGCCACTTTAAGGAAGTGAGACCACAATTTTAAACAAAATAAAAAAAAAATCATTTGGCAAGTTTGAGCTACATTCATTCAACACAGCCAAATTGGCTTGAAGATAAAAACGTAAAATGGCCAAAAATGTACTGAAGGACACATAAGGGTTAAATATCTTCTGTGTAATTTGCTAAAGCAAGAATTTTTGTTATTTTAAAAAAACTTGAAAATGATGAGTGCTCAGTCTCATTTTACTTCCGGTGCTATTACAATAAAAAAAAAATGTGTATTTTAGCTATACAGTGTTTTTCTGCTTTAAATGGTACACTGCTAACATAGAACCCAAACATTTAATAGCCTATGCCCACTGAGTAAGGACATGGAATAAATTATTTCAAACCTTTGAAATATACACTGGCCAATTTCAAATGTCTTAAATAAAAATTAAACACCAATTTAAGTAAGTAATAGCTTTCATAATTTTTTAAAAATAAATATAGTAATTCTTTATTAGAATTAGCTGTCCCTGGTAGGCTAGTGGTTAAGGCACAGCATTCTCGCTGCTGCAGCCCGTGTTCGAGTCAGAGTTGTGTCAGGAAGGGCATCTGGCGTAAAACACGTGCCAAATGTCAACATGCGAGTTGTCAGTGTGATGATTTTATGTGGCGAACCCTAAACGGGAAGGCCTGAAAGTGACTTTCAGTAATTCTATAGTAGGCTAACTTTATCCTGTTGTGCTGTTCATTGGACCTGTCCTTTCTGCACTAGCTGGCTCTCCCACAGCAGCAGCGTGTTGGCTGCTGCCCTCATCATCTCATACAGTAGATCTCTTCTTGGGCCTCTCTTACTGTTTCAGTAGTACTGGTTGAAGCCAGTAAATATTTTAAACAAATCAACTAGATCGCTAATCACACTGATCAAGACTAATCAGCTTTCTCACGTGGTTTTCGATATTCCCCTGGACTGAGGGGGCAAACATATAGCATCATAGTTTATGAACTAGCATTAACCTTTTCCACTTGCAGAGCAGTCCACATCCATGCTATATATAGCATGTTGACCTCAGCAACAGATTCATTCTCATGTTAGCTTAGCTAGTCTTACTAGCTTGCTGATAACATGTTAGAAGAGTTGGATCTCTGCGATTGAGTGTTGTGTTAAAAAACACAAACATGTGATGGTCAATGTTGATACTGTGGCCGCCTGCCACAAGTCAGGAAACACTGTGTTGTGTGTAAGTAAAATGAGTTTTCTTATTTCTGCTTTTCAAGCAGTCTTTTGCAATGGACATTTTCATATCATGATGATGATGAAAATATAGTTTATTGATCAGCCCTAATGTACATACCTGGCTCACTTAAAACCTCTGAAAAATAAGTTTAATTCAGACCTTGCTAAACCTTGATTTGTGTTTGGAAGTACATGGCATCACTTTTCAACAAAACCTCATGCACTTTAAACCAGTAAGGAGAGAAAACAAGGAATGCAACAATCTCTTATGTGAAATAAACAAAACTGTTCAAGTCGTGGTAGAAAACACTGTGATCCCCATCACCCAGAATAAGAACATTATGGAGGCCTTTAAGCTGATTATTTTCTTTTTTTTTGGATCCACTAATTCCCACTTGCCCTGGACATAAAATCTGTCAACAGTTTCTGCACTTTACAGACCCCAGTTTCCCAATAGTCCTAAACATTCCTCCATCACTGTCTTTGCAGTACTAATTGGAGTAGTTATGTAGGTAGACTAACAGGTTGTCTCTCTGTTTATCTCCTTTGTCCCCTAAACATTAATTTTCACCTGTACACAAACAAAAGTTACTATTTGTCACGCCTTTCTCTTTCCTAATGGTCTCTTAAGTCCTTTGGTATGGCATATCCTTGCTATCCCTTCTAACTATCCATTACTTTGATACTGCTATGCAACAGCAAAGAGGTACACATACTTGTACAGCACATACTGTAAACACAAAACACCTACTGTATAGCTCATGCTAAAATGTACTTACTGAGGTATAGAGATATCCTTCACTATTCATTGCAAGGTAGAACCCCGTCTTTGCCCCCTGGATTGCCACAATCCGCAGTCCCACTGGAATTACGTTGAACTGTGCTTAATTGGGGATTAAAGTAGGAAGCAGAAAGACAAGGTATGACAAAGAGAGAAACAAAAGAAAAAGTCAGATCATGAAGCCAAATATACAGTAACACTGACAGAATGGACTTTTCTGTCTTCATTATAGCTGGCTGAATGGCTCCAGCATCACAACCACATGCTGTAGCTCTCCTAAACTGAAATTCTGTCACCTCTCAGAGTTTATATTCTTGTAAGCACAACACCATGTCACCTTCACCATGCTTTACACTGCCTCTAATGCTGGATCATAATGGAGATGTTCTGCCACACCAAATAGAGTTTAGAGCAAGGGCAGTGAAATGTGGAGAGATACGGTATCTGGGTTGTTTAAACGCTAATGAAGATGCAACTACTCAAGAAATAATGATGAATGAATATGATTATAAAAGTTTGCTGCATTCAAACCACAGTCTGACAAAGGGCTGAGTCTGGAAGGTCAAATGGGCAAATACAAAGGAATGACTTGCTTAAAAGTCAAGATAAACATTCATCTCATCTCAGTGGGGGCACTATGTCACTTTGAAACAGCTAGAGTGTGCATATTCAAACTGAGCCCAACAGGAACCACTGGTACCCGAGGGTTCAAGTCAGGTTTGGACAGAAATGTAACAATTATGTTCAGGTTCTGGTTGGGATTGAACACACAGACCAAACTTTAGGCTTGAGGCACTCAAGTATGTGTTTAATAAAGGGTGAAAACACCATACAAAATCAACTGCATCAGGCTCAGGTTGGGTTTGGACATTATATACTATAAGCTTGTCGGGTCCGGGACAGATTCAGACACCACACTCTCAGGTTTGAACAGAAATATGTTGCCCAATCTGTCCTCTACTTGAAGCTCAGGCAGTGGCCTTGTTCTTTGTGGTTTATTAGTGTCTGATACCAAGTTGCCGATCCAATCAGAATCAATGGGATTTTAAAGCACAAATTTGGGTAAATAAAGTATAAATTTGTCAAGAAGTGTCTCCCTGCTGTACTAACCCCCACCTCCTCCACTCTGCTATCTTCAGGCCTTGTGTTTATTTCTTGCTCTCTATGGCCAGTGATGTTAAAATCCACACCACACTTCTTCTACGCCCCCACTGTTATAAGATGTATTTTTCAAGTCAGCATGGCTCATTTCAACAGACCATGGAGGCTCCCTATTCAGGTACAACCCAGGATGGGAGGGGACCTGTTAGACCCAAGAGACCACGTTTTGTAGCACAAAAAGACTGTGATCAAAAACAAGGCAAAACCAGGGTTAACATCAGTTTAGCATGTCAAAGATGGAGAGCATTAAAAGCATCCAAAGGACTAAAATTTGACATGGATGTGGCTTTCTTCCTGCTAGACACATAAGTACTGTAGTTGGCTAACGTGGATATGTCGGCATCATTAGCAAGCTAACATTAGCATTTCAGTTTTGTACCTTTGTAGTGAACTATTCTGGTTTTAATTTGGAGTAAATCCAGCTGACTGCAACATTAGTGTTTTGTTGTCCAATTAGTTGTTAAAATTTACACCTTCCACATAGCTAGAAAAGTTTTTCAACTATTAAAGGTTTAACATGAAAATTCTCTTGTTTCACATACAACTCATGGTTATGTGTGTCAAGTATGTAACGCTGAATGTGATGTGATAGCGGCCAGAACATCAGTGTTGTATCATTATTACTGGGAAAAAACATTCCCCTGTGTAATTTGCTCGTGGTACTGCTGATATTTTCACTACAAACAACGTTAGACATACATATCACTAAAATGTAAACCTCTTTACCTGACATTGTGTCAGTGCAATGCCACGAAAAACCACGGGCTCTATGGCCTTTATAGTCCATATACTGTACATTAGTTCTGGAGCCGGTTATCACTGCCGCACTACCTGACGGCCACAGCTGCCTCTGGCTATCGTGATCACATGTGACATAGTTTCAGAGACAGGGCAGGAGGGGCAAAGAGGAGCAGAAGGAGAAGAGGAGGGGATACTGATTGAGGTTGACTCTCACTTTGCCCTTAATGGCTGAAAATTAGAGGGAGAAGTTAGTTAACACAGCTTTAAACAAAGTTTAGATGGATTGTAGGACTGAACACCTTTGCCAAGCATTCCTCCATATGAGCAAAAACACGTTTAATTACCAAAGTTTGACAGGCAGTTTGACGTGATGTATTAAAAGACAAAAATAGCTGCATAAATTGGAGCCAGTTTGACAGATGAGCTGACATAGTACTACCTTTTGTCCTGACTCTTTAGTCACAAGGCTCACACTTACTTTAGTGCATCGAGCATTAACTTTGCCAAAGTTGGAGTTTTGGTTCCCAGTGACGGTATGAACAGTTTCATATCTGAGCTTAAAACTGCATGTGTACTGTACTTGCATTTAGACCAGAATGGCATCTATCCAGTTACTCTAAGCGATACTAGAAACTCAAGTGTGAATAATTTGATTAAAATTAAACAACACAACCACAAACAAATACATGTAGGCCATACACCCAAAACACACACTTACTAAATGAGCTGTTTTCATCCCTTGTGCTGTCTATGGTGCCATCAGGCTGCATCTGCAGGTAGTATCCATGTTGGCTGTATAACCTGGTAATAATGCCCTTCAGCTGTGGCTCTGCAAGGGAGCACAGGAAAACAGCATCATATAAGACAGGTACCAATACCAGAGGTGAAGAGCAGAACCTGAAAAAGTAAAGTTAGTCAAATATACAGTATCACAATTAAAGACATCGACCACAGAGTACAAAGTACTTTTTCCAACCTACGTTGTGAATGTTTGAATAATGTATTTGTTATGGACAAGAGTAATAAAATAATTTGTGTGTATTCTAACTTAGATGAAGCAGACAATTTCATGCATGCATGTGTAATATCTTAAATGTGTAATAAGAATTTTAGACATTTCACTACTTAATGGATCGCATAAAAATTTTGTACAGATGCTCTTAAGAGGATGATGAATGGATGCATGAATGAATTGCCTAAGGTACAATTTAGACTACTGTGATTCACCTTAACACAGAATAAACAATGAATTTGTAGCTCTATAGCAGTCAGTAATTCAATTACCAGATGTATAAAATGCATATGTAACTAAAACACTTCAATCCACTCTTATGCTACCACTTTTATTTTGGGCAAGAGCTGAGGGGATGAAGGAGGCTGAGTGCTGGAGAAGGGAACGGAGACTGGCTGAATGTTTCATGAATGGTGTCCTTGCAGCCTACTTTGTGTTCATTTAAGACAGGCAGAATCTTTGCTCTCAGACATTGCCAGTGTCCACCTCAGTAACATAGACCATGCAATGTCTTGTGGAAATATGAGCTGTGTACTGAGCACAGCACCTTGCTGCTTCAGCAATGCAGTAAGGAAAACCCTCTAGGTCCCCCGACTTAGCTTAAAGCTTAGTCACTTTAGCCTGGTAAGGCCCAGTAAATTAATCAGTAACATTAATGCAGCTTTAATCAAGGAAGATAAAACATGAATGAAGAAACAATTTTTAACAGAACCTCTAAAGGACTCCACCCATGACCTCATACACGCTGCACTGCACAATGTGCCCATGCTCTTTTGAATTTTTTTTTTCCAGGTTTGCTTCTGTGTTGTGCGGCCCACAGCACATGTGCATTTTGTCATTCCCATCACACCATTCTGTCAGTTGGATCAGCATGGTTCTCCATTTTGCCCTCACCTTGGAAGGTAAGGCACTACAGACCCTTGCTAACCTCCTTCCCAAGGAACATCTTGACTGGCCGACCATGGAGAGAGTGCCGTAGCACCATTTTGGCCAACGAGCCCCTGCTGATGACGCTCAGCACAAGCTCAGCAGCTACTGGCACAAAAAGACAGAGACACTGGGCACCTACAGTATGCCACTGACGTGAACCCCTTGACACAGCACGGGTACCTGATGTTTGATGACGCAGCATTGGAAGAGCTTGTTCTGCAGTCTTTCATCTGAGGGCTAAGGCTGGAGCAGTTCCAGGAGAGCATCTGCATCTATGCACCATCCACCCTGACTGGAGCCCTGGCCAAGGCAAAGTGAGTTGAGCACATGTTGAAACACCAGGTGTGGCAGATGAACCTCGAAGGGACCAGTGAGGAGGATGATGCCCCCCTGTGCCACCATTGCCATCACTGCAGTGGAGACACAAAAGAGCAGCGAAATAGCGCAGAGGCGGTCTCACCGCTGTGGGGAGCCAAACCAATGTCTCCAGATGATTAATCTATCCTCAATATGCTGCAGTTGAAGCTTGGCCACCTGGGCTGGGTGCATGAACTATACTTGGACCATGAACTGAATGGCACCCGCCAGGCCCTAGTGGACACAGGGTCCACCATCTTCCTGGTTTGGCTGGGGACGCTGCCAGGGATGAGCAGGTCAAGACTGTATGGCTGGGGAGCCATTCAGCTCCATATCACCACATGACGGCTGCGAGAAACTGCCGCACCAGCCAAGGGTTCCAAACCACCAGCTGAGGAGTCGACAACGGCAGCTGAGGGCCAGCTGAGGGGCCACCACTACCAGGCAAGGGGTGGCCACCACCCAAAGGGCTGACACAACCAGTTGAGGTGTCAACACAGCCAGCCAGAGGGGCTGTGTCACCACAACCCAGGAGGTGTCTGCCAAAACCAGGAAAGCTGTTGATGACCTACTGAGGAGCTCTGAAGGGTTGAAGGCAGACCAGAGACAACAGTTGAGGGAGCAGATGGAAGCATTTGTGGACAACTTTAAAGCCAGAGACATGGACTGTAGGCACACTAGCCTGGTGCAACACAAAATTGACACAGCAACACACTGTCCACCTCTGCCTGCAGCACCTACCACTTGCCAGACAAACTACAGCAGGAGAGAAGATTAAAAAGATGGTGGGGGAGGGCATCCCCAAGTCATCCAGCAGCCCTTGAGCAGCACCTGTTGTTATGATCCAAAAGAAAGACAGTAGCTGGAGGCCCTGTGTAGACTACCACAGGCTTAATAAGGTTACTTGCAAGGACTCTTACTCACTGACACACATCAATGACACCCTGACCCCCAGTGGCTTTGCGTGGACTACTTCTTCATCCACACTGCAGACTTTGGGGGCTCCCTGGCCAACCTGAAGGATAGCTTCAGTAAAGCTACTAAAAATCCCAATAAATGCTACTGCATTAATGAATTAGGTGAAAAAAGACTAACTGATGAAGTGGATGAAAGACAACTGAGACCTACTCAACACATTCCCTTATCTGGGAACTGACAGTGCATTGAACAGCCACGAACTGGAGGCCACGGAGTGCATCTGTGATGGGTCACAGAGGGTTGCAGCTGCATGCTGCGTGAAATGAATGTTTCAGGATTGAAGAAATCCCAGGTTCAGAGCAACTTCTAAACACTTCATGAGAGAAATGTTCCCTGACTTCAAAACTTTGGCTGAAGTGGAGCTGACAGGTCCAGTGCAGCAGCAGAGTGAGGGTTCAGCTTTCAGATCAAATTAGAAATCGTGAAGCGTGAGAAATCGTTTATCCAAAGACGCAAAACAATCCCCTCCTCAGCAGGCTAGGTTACAGCAGGTCAGCTGATTTCAATTCAGTTAGCCTAACTTCATGTAAATGGGTTGTTCATATTTCCATAACTCTTCAGAACTGCAATGCCCACAAATGTGAAAACTGTTATAAACACAGTGACATAAATGATATGTACTTAAAATGCATTTTCAGAAATATCTCTCTCCTCTCCATGTCAGACCTAGCTGTCACCTGTTACCCATATCTTGCCCTCTGAAAATTAAAAGGACTATATAGGCAGCCAATCTATCAGTAAAAATTGCAATACATTTCAAAACAAAGGGATTGCAAATGACCAGAACATGTGACAGAAAAATGTGACATGTGAAGGCTCAGGTTTGTGTAATTTATTCAGTTTTTGCTTTAAATGATTTAAAATACACAGCGGAAAGAG